CTTGTGAACTACTGGCAAGTTTAAGGAAGGAAGTGAACAATATTAACATACAGAGTATAGTGCTATTATCATTTTTGACTATAGTATTCGCAGCTTTATTTCTTCTTGTTCTTTGTCTCCTTCTTTTTTTTTTGAGACAGAGTGCTCTCTTGCCGCCAGGTGGGAGGTAGTGGTGCAGATCTATGGCTACCTCGCAGGCCTCTGCTCTGGGTTTTCAAGTGTTCTCCTGGCCAGCCTCCGTGGATGAAAGGCACAGTCACCAAATCCTGCTAATTTTTTTTTTTTTTTTTGGTGGAAGTTGGAGCTACCCACGTTGGCCAGGCCAGGCTGGTCTCAAACTCTTGACCTCTAGTGATCCACCCACCTCAGTCTCCCAAAGTGCTGGGATTACAGGTGTGAGCTACCGCCATACCAGCTGGGTTTTTTTGGTTTTTGTTTTTTGTTTGTTTGTTTGTTTGTTTTGAAGCATGGTCTTGCTCTGTAGCCCAGGCTGGAGCGCAATGGCATGTTCACAGCTCACTGCAGCCTTGACCTCCTGGGTTCAACTGATCCTCCCACCTCTGCCTCCTGAGTAGCTGGGACCACAAGCACTCACCACCGCGCCTAGTTAATTTTTGCATTTTTTGTAGAGATGAGGTCTCACTATGTTATCCAGGCTGGTCTCAAACTCCCGGGCTCAAGCGATCCTCCACCTCAGCCACCCAAATGCTAGGAATACAGATGTGAGCCACTGTGCCCAGCCCTTCTTTCTCAGCTTTTTTGGTGCATATAAATACTTAGGGAAAATAAAAAGCTGGGTTCATAATGTGTACTGTGTCATTCAACTGACATATTATGAGCATTTTCCCATATACTTAGATACTATTAGAAAATAATATTTTTAGAGACTACCTAGTTTTCTAGCACATTGATATAACCCAATTTATATAACTAATCTATTAGTTTGGTTTTAGATTATTTCCTATTTTTATATTTATAAATACTGTGGTAAATGTTCTTGTTCATACATTTTTTTATGCATCTCTGCTTATTTCCTTAAGATAAATGCTTAGAAGTGAATTGACTGACTATACAAAAAGCTATACGCTGTTTTTGTTTTTTTAATGTCAGGTATACAGAATTAGACTAACCAGAATGCTTGGTTCATGGTCCACTCTCATAACTGGTATATAGATGGCCTGGTTTTGTTAATTTAGTGGTAAATTCATTTGTTTAATAATGTAGTCAGTACCTGTGAATTTATAACCCCAAACAAAAGCTAACACCTTGACAAAACTGATATCCAACCATAGCTCCTGCTGCCCCCACTGCCCCATCTCCTTGCTCCCCACCCCAGACAACCATCCTGAATCCTGTGCTCATTTCCTTGCTTTCCTTTTTATATCGTTTTATTATATCTGTATATATTCCTTCTTTTTTTTTTTTTTTTTTGAGACAATGTCTCACTCTAATGTCCAGACAGGAGTGCAATGGCGTGATCTTGGCTCACTGCAACCTCTGCCTCCTGGGTTCCTGCCCTTCCCAGTAGCTGGGATTATAGCCACGTCCCACCACATCTGGGTAACTTTTGTGTTTTTATTTTTTTTTAATATTTATTTATTTATTTGTTTGTTTTATTTTGAGACAAAGCCTCGCTCTGTCACCTAGGCTGGAGTACAGTGGCACAATCTCAGCTCACTGCAACCTCCACCTCCCAATTCAAGCGATTCTCCTGTCCGAGCCTCCTGAGTAGCTGGGACTACAGGCGCGCACCAACATACCTGGCTAATTTTTGTATTTTTAGTAGAGATGGGGTTTCACCACACTGGCCAGGCTGGTCTCAAACTCCTGACTTTGTGATCCGCCTGCCTCGGCCACCCAAAGTGCTGGGATTACAGGCTTGAGCCACTGAGCCCGACAACTTTTGTATTTTTAGTAGAGATGGGGTTTCACCATATTGCCTAGGCTGGTCTCGAACTCCTGACCTCTGGCCCATCTCGGCCTCCCAAAGTGCTGGGATTACAGGCGTGAGCCACCGCGCCTGGCCAATATCTGTACATATTCCTAAAGAATAGTTTTTAAATTGTTCTGAGGTTCATAAAAAAGGATATTATGTTGTATGTAATCTTTCAGGATTTTTCACTTGATATTTTGCTAAAATCCGTCTATATCCTTGCATTTCACTGTAGTTCATTCATTTTGACTGATATAAAATAATCCAATACATAAACATACCACAGTTTATCATCTACCCTCTTACTGATGGGCAATTGCATTGTTTCTAGGATTTTGTTCTTGCACACGCTGCTGTTATGAACATTATTGTCAATGTCTCCTGTTGTACTCGTGCAAGCATTTCTCTAGACAATCAATTGACGCTTCCCCCAGCCATGGATGAGAGAGCCCCTGGATCCATATCCTCTGGTATTGATGTTTCCATGGTTTGGGATCTATGTTGTCGGGTTGCTTTCCAGGTGGTTAGATCAGTTTGCCTCTCCTCCAGCAATGTAGGAGAATGCTCGTAGCCCCAAACTCCTTCCAACACTGGGAGTCTTTAAAAGATTTTTGACCATTTGATAGGAGAAAGATAACATCTCCCTGCTGTTCAACTTTGTGGTAAGGTACTGACTGTTTCGAAAACTGAGCAAGAAGGGATTTGGTTCAGAGAATCGTTCCCAGTCTGATAATTTCAGTGATATTTCTGGAACTGATTACCCAGTGGCTCAGATGCTTTCCCATGTCCTAAAAGAGGTGACACTGTTGGAAGGAGGGAGTGAGAGGAGCCAGGATGGGAAACAAGCCTAATCACCACAGTGCAAGCTTGTCTTCTGGTCCCAGCCCCTGCCAGTGTCAGATCACTTTTTCTTCTAATGAAATAGGCATTATCTCCCCCTACTCCCCACCCGAGAAAAGCCAGTATAATTCTACCCTTTGTTATTTGAATTGATAAATTTAAACCTCCTTCCCTCTCTGCAGTAAAAGAACTTTCTATTTTGGGCTCGGTGACATAGCCAACACCAAGCAGAGAGCAGCAGGCTGCAGCATGAGTTAATAGTTTTTCTTCAAGGGAGAGCAAATCCATAAGCAAACAGAAGGTCCTTCCAAACTGTGTCGTCTGCATAGCAACATGCAGCCCATTCGCCTGTCTTTATGCTGACGGATATATTTCTGAAAGGCTGAAAATTGAATACTGCCTAATCTTCAGAGGAAGCTGGTGCATTAATTCTGAATTAATCAGGTTTCTTAATTCAAATCCATTTCCCCCTCTCCCCGCCCTGTGTACCTAACACTGGATTAGGTACTGTCAGGGAAGGGAATTCTGTTTTCAAGTGGATTTCTAGTCACCAAAGATTTGAAGAGTGCCCAAAACATTTTCCTAAGAATATGACTTCCTCTGCTAGTCTGTTTCCATGCATGAAATCCCCCATATTGGGGTAGAATCCTGGGTCTTAGAAGCCCCCAGGCATGCATAGAGGCATGTTCAGAAGAAGGGAATCTATTTAAACCATTGGCCCCTGTTAGCACATAACTACAGCTTGGAAGAATGGGATAGAGAAGTAAGTCCTCCCCTCATCTCTTTTGTTAAATTTTTTCTTATGGGAAGTTTCCAATACTCACAAAAGTAGAGATAATAATATAATAAACACCCATTACCTATTGCTTGGCCTCAACGATTAACAGTATATGGCAGTCTTGTTTTATCTATACCCCACCCCTCCCTCATCATCATTTTAAAGCAAATTTTAAAGTAAATCATGGTTATCTTCATATTTAAATACTATAAATTCTGTGATAAATAAGGACGTTTTTCAATAACCACTATGTCACATATAAAACAATTAAAAATAATTCCTAATGTCAACTGATATCCAGCCAGAAATCAAATTGCCCTGATTTTCCTAAATGTCATTCTGTAATAGTTTATTCTAATCAGGAGCAAAACAATATCATTTGCATTTGTTGTATCTCTTACGTCTTTTTTAGTTTATAACGTACATATGTGTGTGTGTGTGTGTATATATGTGGGCATGTATATATGTGTGTGTATGTATCATTTTTGTTGTTTGTTTTGCTTTTGTTTTTGAGAGAGGATCTCTCCCTGTTGCCCAGGCTAAAGTATAGTGGCACAATTATAGCTCACAGTAGCCTCAAACTCTTGGGCTCAAGCGATCCTCCCACCTCAGCTTCTCTAGTAGCTGGGACTAAGGAACATACTCCCATGCCCAGGTTATTTTTTTATTTCATCTTTTCTGGAGACAGGATCTTACTGTGTTGTCCAGGTTGGCCTTGAACTCTTGACTTGAAGTGATCATCCCACCTTGGCTTCCCAAAGTTCTAGAGATTACAGGCATGAACCACTGTGCCTGGCCTTAATTTATAACAATTCCTCCTTTTTTTTATAGCCCTACTTTTTGGTGTTGTTGAAGATAATGGGTCTTTTAGTTAATTATTGCTGTGTAGCAAGCCACCCCAAACTCAGTGGCATAAAATAACAACCAATTTATTGTGCTTACAGAGTCTATGGGTCAGGAATTCAGAAAGGGCACAACTGGGGATGGCTTCTCTCAGCTCCAAGCTGTCTGAGGACTCAGCTGGGAAGACTCTGTCACCCAGACTGGAGTGCAGTGGCGCCATCTTGGCTCACTGTTTACTCACATGTCAGTAGCTGGGCCTGACGCATTCAAAAACTAGGACTGCTGACCACAGCACCTACACATGGCCTCTCTCTGTGCCTTGGCTTTATCACAGAATGGCAAGGTAAACCTCTTACATGGCAGCTTAGGGCTACAAATGCAAGTGTTCTAGTCACAAGGTGGATGCTGTGTCACTTTTCTTTTTGAGATGGAGTCTCACTCTGTCACCCAGACTGGAGTGCAGTGGCGCCATCTTGACTCACTGCCACCTCCGCCTCCCGGGTTCAAGCGATTCTCCTGCCTCAGCCTCCCGAGTAGCTGCGATTACAGGCATGCACCACCACACCCAGCTAATTTTGTGTATTTTTAGTAGAGACAGGGTTTCACCATGTTGGCCAGGCTGGTCTTGAACTCCTGACCTCAGGTGATCCACCCACCTCGACCTCCCAAAGTGCTGGGATTACAGGTGTGAGCCACCATGCCTGGCTGCTCTATCACTTTTTGTAACCTAATCTCAGAAATCACAGAGTGTTAGTTTTGCTCTTCTGTTGGGTACAAGTCACAAGCTTCCCCAGACTCAAAGAGAGTGGAATCAGACTCTACCTTTAGAGTAGCAAAGTTCCAAAAGAGCCTGTGGGGTGGGCAATATTGTTGCCCCCATTGGAGATTAGGACCATCAGTTGAGCCTGCCTTTCTTCCACCAGCCAGGAAAGATGTTGCAAACAGTGGAAGCCTGGTGGAAGAAAGAAAGGGTGGAGTTTGTTTGCAGGGCCATATCCTACAGTTGTACATACTGTGCCATGAATAGCCAAGGAGATGAGCTGAGAGGAATCCAGCTCCACTTGCCACACCTGTGCCTTACTGTGGGGCCGCATCTCCAGGATGAAGAAGCACCTTTTCTAATATGCATAGATACCATATAGGCAAGGGGAGTCCCCAAGTGGATGGTAAAAGGTCATTCAACCTAACTTGAAATTATTGGATATCTATTGAACACATGCTACTTCAGAGAATACTAGGGCTTGTTTCAGTTTAAGCAGCACACACAAGTAGGCCAAGAAATATCTTAGAGTATCTCAAAAATGATGCTGGGTTTACTCAAATGTTGTTTTAAAATTGTGTAACTTTTTTATATTTTTTATTTTTTATTTTTTTGAGACAGACTCTTGCTCCGTCGCCCAGCCTGGAGTGCAGTGGCGCGATCTCGGCTCACTGCAACCTCCACCTCCCAGGGTCAAGCAATTCTCCTGCCTCAGCCTACCGAGTAGCTGAAACTACAGGTGACCGCCACCACGCCCAGCTAATGTTTGTATTTTTAGTAGAGACGGGGTTTCACCTTGTTGGTCAGGCTGGTCTCTAACTCCTGACCTCAGGTGATCCACCCGCCTCGGCCTCCCAGAGTGCTGGGATTACAGGTATAAGCCACTGCGCCTGGCCCTAAAATGGTGTAATTTTTAGCAGCAGGTACTTTTTATTTATTTATTTTATTTTGTTTTAAAGTTAGGGTCTCACTCCGTCACCCAGGCTGGCGTGCGGTGGCACAATTCATAGCTCACTGCAGCCTTGAACTCCTGGCCTCAAGTGCTCCTCCCACCTCAGGCTCCCAAGTGGCGAGGACTACAGGTTGTGCCACCATGCCAGGCTAATTTTAAAATTTTTTGTAGTGACAGGGTCTCATTGTGTTACCCACGCTGGTCTTGAACTCCTGGGTTCAAGCAATCCTCCTTCCTCAGCCTCCCAAAGTGCTGGGATTACAGGCTTGAATCACTATGCCTGGTTCCACCAGGTACATTTTGATTGCATTGGTCTGGAATGTTCTAGACCTATCTTTGAAGAAGCTGAGGCACTGTATCTCAATGCCTGAGGGCCTAGCCCTATCCACATCTTGCCAGCCTTGGCTCGATGCAAAAACTGGGCACAGGATTTCTAGGAAACCAGGCCAAACAGAATTAAGGGTTTTCTTTTATTCTTGGTGGTGCCTATTCTTCATTAACATAGCGTTTACATTTTGGTTAGATCCCCAGGAAAGTACATGCTTTCATTTCTGTTTACGGGCATCAGGAAACTTTTTTTTTTTTTTTTTTTTTGAGGCAGAGTCTCGCTCTGTTGCCCAGGCTGGAGTGCAGTGGTGTGATATCGGCTCACTGCAAGCTCTGCCTCCCAGGTTCATGCCATTCTCCTGCCTCAGCCTCCTGAGTAGCTGGGACTACAGGCGCCCACCACCATGCCTGGCTAATTTTTTTGTATTTTTAGTAGAGACGGGGTTTCACCGTGTTAGCCAGGATGGCATCAGGAAACTTTAAAAAACTACAGATAAAGCAAGGTAACTTTCAAGTATTTTAAAGAGCAGGAAAAGCCAGCACAGTGGCATCCAGCCAGTAGTGCTAGCTACTCAGGAGGCTGAAGTGGGAGGATCACTTGAGCCCAGGAGTTTGAGATTGTAGTGTGCAATGATTGTGCCTGTGAATAGCCACTGCACTTCAGCCTGGGCAACACAGTGAGACCTGTGTCTCTTTAAAAAAAGAGCAAGATAGCAAAAGAGCAAGATAGCATCATATATCACTGAGTTTGATAAAGGTCAGCATAAGGCAGCTTACAGAATCCAGGTATAAATTTCTGTCAATGAGATTATTAAAAAGCTATGATTATCCTGTTAAAGCCATGCTGGTGGTCAACAGCTGGGTTGAGGGAAACCTCAAATGGCAAGGCCCAGAGCACTTCAGAAAAAAGAGAAATTATTAGGCCTTAGGTATAGAGTATTAAGTTAATCGCACTTTTCAGTTCATGGCTCATTATACTATGATCAGTCCATTCCAGGCCCCTTTCTTTTCTTTATTTTATTTTATTTTTTTTGAGACGGAGTTTCTCTTTTGTCACCAAGGCTGGAGTGCAATGGCGCAAACTCGGCTCACTGCAACCTCCACCTTCTGGGTTCAGGCGATTGTCCTGCCTCAGCCTCCCAAATAGCTGGGATTACAGGTGCCCACCACTATGCCCGACTAATTTTTTGTATTTTTAGTATAGATGGTGTTTCACCATGTTGGTCACACTGGTCTCGAACTCCTGACCTCAGGTGATCTACCCGCCTCAGCCTCCCAAAGTGCTGGGATTACATGTGTGAGCCACCATGCCTGGCCCTAAGGCTCCTATTTAATGGATGGATGGATGGATGGATAGATATCTGCCTATCCTCAGACCTCCCTCCTGTCCTTTCCCATAGGCAACCATTCTCATATATTTAATTATTATATATACATGTATGTATATGTATATATTTTTGGTTTGTATGTATGTGTTCATGTGAAGTATTGTCATGCCCAGGGTCAGGTTCCGGCCCTGAGGTCCGAAGGCAGTGGGTGGATGGGTGGCAGATAGCTGAAAGAACACTCAGGGGGCTGCAGGCAGATGAAATATGGTTTTATTCAGCAGCTCTCTTACACTGTCTGTCTCTGTCTCAGCTGCTTGCTCTGGCTCTGCGGCTCCTGCCGCTCCCACACACAGCTGCACAGCCAGCTCTCCCTACAGGGTCAGCAGCTTAACTCTTTCTCTCTCTGGGCACAAGCCAAGCCGAGCCCTGGCTCCTCTCTGTCCATCTACAAGATGGACAGCTTTGGCTGTCTCTCTCCTTTTCTGGGTGCGTGCTGTATGCACAGTGTCAGCAAGGCAGTTATACCTTTTACGAACAATAGTGGCGCCAAGCTAGGTGATAAGCCTTTCCATGTTATGGCTACATAGCTGTGATTATATTACAAATGGAGTTATGCACCGGCACTCCAATCCCGCTGAGTCATGCAGGATGTTTACCTTGGCCTATCCTTGACCAAAGCACATCCATGTACCTTATAAGTGTGTTGTTTGGTTTGCAGGTATTTTAATTTACATTAGTATTATTGTGTTATATATCTCATTCTGTCTTCCTTTTTTTCATTTCTCACTTTGTTTTTAAGACCTATATATGTTAGGCTGGGCATGGTGGCTCATGCCTGTAATCCCAGCATTTTGGGAGGCCAAGGCAGCAGGATCACTTGAGCTCAGGACTTGAAGACCAGCCTGGGCAACATGGTGAAATCCTGTCTCTACAAAACATACAAAAGTTTGCCAGGCATGTGGTGCCTGCCTGTAGTCCCAACTATTGGGAGGCTGAGGTGGGAGGAACAGGAGGTCAAGGCTGCAGTGAGCTGAGATCATGTCACTGCACTCCAGTCTGGGCAACAGAGTGAGATCCTGTCTCAAAAAACAAAAACAAAAAAGACCCTATACATGTTGCTATGTACACATCTAGTCCATGATTCTGACTGCTGCAGAGTACTGAATAGTGTGCACCCACCACATTTGTCCTCTTTGCTTCCCCAGTACTGGGCACTCCCAAGTGCCTCCAACTTCCCACCACCAAGACAATGCTGCCATAAGCAGCTGCTTGTGTGATTCATTTTGAGCCCATGTGGGAATCTTTAGGCAGTCTCTCGCTTATATGGTATCTTTATGTGCCTCAGAAAAGGCACCTTTTCGGCTGGGCATGGTGGCTCGCACCTGTAATCCCAACACTTTGGGAGGCCAAGACGGGTGGATCACAAGGTCAGGAGTTTGAGACTAGCCTGGCCAACACAGTGAAACCCCGTCTCTACTAAAAAAAAAAACAAAAAAAAAACAAAAATTAGCCGGGTGTGGTGGTGCATGCCTGTAGTCCCAGCTACTCGGGAGGCTGAGGCAGAAGAATCACTTGAACTTGGGAGGCAGAGGGTGCAGTGAGCCGAGATCGTGCCACTGCACTCCAGCTTGGGTGACAGAGCAAAACTTCTTCTCAAAAAAAAAAAAAAAAAAAAAAAAAGGCACCTTTTCCTCCTGGAGGATGCAGCCCCAACAGTAAAGCTGAAGGTTCAACAATGTGGAGCTCAGGTTGGGTTTCAGCTCCTACTCACTCCCTCAGGTGGAGCCTAGTTGAGGATACAGTCTGTAAAACTAGGACGTGGCCCCTCATTCTCACTTCCACCAGGTTTCTGTTCGCAACATCTGTCCTGGTTGATATTGGAAAGGGGAGGGTGTCAATTGACACCAAAATCTCATCATAGAATATGCATATACTTAATTTGACCAAGCAGTGCCAAATTGCAAGAGCACTTTACACATGGGCAGACAACACAGTTTATGTGCATTCCACAGGAACTGGAAAGTCAGGTATGGCTGCAGCACACTGGTGGTAGAACAGATGTGCCTGCCTGAGGCCAAGGTACTGCTCTCGCCCACTTTGTCTTGGAGATGACAGAGAAACATCTTTTCCCTTAACACTACTGTCTTCTCATGTGTAGGACACAGGCAATGTGACTGGCCTTATATACCCAGGTCAGCGGCTCTGAGTGACTCCACAGGTGGTGGAGCTCTGGTCCTGAGCCATCCTGTCTTTGTCCTTTGGTGAGCCACCTATGCCAGACACAAAGAGGGACGGACAGTTCCCACTGAAGGACACCAGGGCAGGCATAGATTCAGCCATCCAGAACAGTTCTATTAAACTGGTAAGGTTTAAAACCCATCAGAAATTCTTAGAATTCTTGAATTGATCTGAATTCCATTCAGATACATTTAAACGCTCTTAAAACAACCATGTATGGAGGTAAATGAAACATCTAAATTATAAAGAAAGCTGTTACTCATTTTCATGCTGATGTTTTCTCATGTCAAATGAGGATAATCACAATGAGAACTTCTACAGGAAGACAGAAGACACAATTCATGATA